ATATCGATTTGAGCACAACAACTAGTCAAGTCGTTCTGACCGACGATCGGCCTTTGTCATCAGGGCTTCCAACAAGCGAGCAAGAAGTGTAGTACACCGAAGTAAGTTTCTTACTGTGAAAATTACTGTTAGGATAGCGTCGAATTTTTTAGAAATTTCCTCCTCTTTGATGAGAACACTACAAAGTTTTGCTTCACCTATTTTATAGTGGTAAATTCAAAGAGGCGAAAGCGAGAAATAATGCAAAGTGTTCCATTTGCTTTGAAAGCACCTCACGAGCCTTCGTTGAAAAAATTCTCGTTAAGCTTAAATTGGCTTTGAATTAATTCTCCTTGCTAGTATTCGCAGGATATAGTTTTATTCTAACCCTCTTGGATGCTGTTCTTTGAAATAGGACAGCCTAACTAAGAGAAACTTGTTAAATACGACACGAACAAATGTTCGTCCTTGAAAGGTAGATGTTTTTTAAATAGACCTACATCAAACTTTATGAGTAATTAGAAACGTCCTTTAAAGTTTTCAATTTGGAATAAAAATATCAGGATAAAAACAATAGCCCCTCGTTTATTTCCAAGAGTATCGGGATCAAACAGAAAAGTTCAACATTAAAAAATCAAGGGTAATTGCTTACGAAACAAAAATACCGTCACTTTCTCATTGCATCCATCGAACTTAAGCTGTAAGCTGATTTCTTTCTCATTCTTCAATCACCAGATCATCTCCATCCTCGACGGTTTTCGTTGCATATACGCCAAATGCACGAGCATCTCCATGACAGTCGGAGCATTTTTGTGAAATAGTTTTCCTAGCAGTCCAGCAAGAAAATAGCAGAATTCGGATTTCTTTCATATCACTAGAGTGCCTTCACAGATAAAAAAGAAATCGTTGTGAAAATCATATTCAAATTTGTAAATTTGTTAACACAGTATCATCTCTTGTCGTATGGAAGGGTTACGGTACAATGGAGTACAGCTGTTTCTCGATGCGGCGCTATCGTAATTACCGGTCGTCGTTGGTTTTTCTCTAAAGCGCCTTCTAAATCACTAGCACTTTAAGTGGACTTTACAGAAATCTCCATAGTCCAGTAATTATGTTTGCGATTGTATTTTTATGATCATCACATTATGAAGCATTTCTTTCTTCGTAACGTAACCGATTAATCAAAATTCTTTCTAAAACCTAGTTGGTAGATTCTTCTTCAGGAGGTTTCCCTTGACATTTCTTATTCCCAAATATCGACGACGTTTTTTCGATTCGATTCCGTTTAGGGAGTTCGGAATTTTCCGTGATTGTCTGAATGTCTGTTTTATAGTTGCCATCGATTCGTACATTGTCATTATGACACACTTCCATTAACCAACGTGACTCTCAAGAACTTTCCGAATGATATTTTCTGACCACTAAACTTTTGTGACTTTACTTTTATTGCTTAGTTTATTATTTTCTTATTATATCTATTCTTATGCTGCCCTCAGTAATCAAATATTTTTTCCCTTACTGAAACGGTAATAGATGCCTTGATTCCGTGAGTCCCTGAGGGAATGATCATGGTCATGGCTCCTTCTTATGCTTTATACGTGTTCGTTTACTGGACCGAACATTTTGCTAACCAGAACGAAATCTGTAATTCGCGTATCATTTCAAAGCTATTTAAGTTAAGAAATAAGATTTTCAAGTAAAGCTCCTGTTCCTTAAACTTAGTGATAAATCACGGTGCTGACAACGCTTGAAAATGTACATGGCATTTAATCATCAAAATGAACGTCATATTAGAAAAAACCGATCGGATACTTCGAAAGCTCATGCTTCTTAATAGCAGGAACCGCGCCAGAAAATTCACATATATATATGTATACATATGTTTCTATATATATATATATATATATATATATATATATATAATGTTTCTATATATATATATATATATATATATGCATATATGCGTATATATACACTCTTATTCACGCACATGCCAATGTATATATGCAGAAAAGGATAAATCTCTTGGTGTTGATCAACCCTTGAGGGATGCGTCATGCATTCGAGTTCATCAAGCATCGTTTGGAGGTGATTGAATGCATATCTGGCTTTTACAATGACTCGCGGTGGCCTAACGATCCCGTATCGAGTCGGTGCTGCTATCCTTCCAAACAAGTCTGGTACCAATTTGTCGACTCGGGAGGGATGGAAAGCTTGGTGGGCATGGGCGCGGAGATCGACTCCACGTGTGCGCTGCAGGGCGCCTCCGACCACTGCGCCACACGCGCTTTTCCATTGAATATAATATGGATACATATTTACATGCAAGCATATATATATATATATGACTCACAAACGTGCCAAGCATACGTGCAAACATACAGACTGGCATAAACATATATACATGTTTTCACAAACTGTCTAATAGGCGCCTGGCGATGTTGCCGCTTAGTGGGCGAGTTTACCCGTTCCGATCTCCAGAGCTTTTCCGTATTTATTTTGCGTCATTCATTACACGGATAAGAAATCTTTGTGTCACTCTAAGTATCCCTACAATAGTTTTTCTGACAATTTTTGTTTCTCTCTTCTCTCCTGTTACAACTGCTTCTGCTTATTGAACAAAAAGTTATCATATTTAATCATTCTAAAGTAATTAATTGTTTAAATAAAACTTACGAAACTGATGACGGAAAAACTAATATAATAGATATTAAAGAGCTTCGTAATAAGTAGTCCTTGAAGAAAGAGCTACCCACTACGTTTTCTTCTCTCGCCTTAGGATGTGATTCCAAAAAAAGTAGGCAGTGCATGAGGTGATTACATAAGCTTAGGTAGAGTTTATCCGATCTCTTGTAAAGGATGCGCGGACCAAGACTTTGGCGAAGCGGGTAGAGTACTCTACGTCTGTACAAAAGAATACCTAATCGGTAAACTTAAACCAAATGCTGCACTGGGCACTCATAGAACAAAAACACAACGCAGAAGATTTTGAATTAGGAGCTATGATCCTCGTATATGAATCAAAAGCACAAACGCGCAAAACTCTCTAGGCATTCCGAACTAATTTCAAGAATCCGAAAAGGAACCGCAGGGATGAATGCCCCATAATCACGCGTGATATTGGGCACTATTTAAACCTGTTATTGTGATGGAAAAGACACATTACGCTTCCATGTGAACTCTGTGAACTCTGTGCTGTTGGTCTCCATGTGACATATTCAGTGAAAGACTCATAGAATGCAGCGAGTGTGTTAAAGAAGCTGTTCTGTGTTCAACATGATTGAAATCTTGGTTTAGCATTTCCCTGTTTGGTTGCGGAGATGTTTGGCTGGGTAGATTGCGGTCACCTTGACCTTTCCAGGCTCAGAGAAAGGCGAAATCCGCCGAAACGTCAGTTTGTGCGTAAACAAAGAACTAAAATAACACTTCGCGTTTAGTAAACAATAGTACAAGAATTGGAAATGGGCGATTCGCAAAAGATTTTAACGAAAAAACTAAAACCTCATCATTGCCGGTTTTTTTCACCACCAAATCTCTTTCGTCGGCTTAAAACATCAATCAAAACTTATTTGCACCGCTAGAAAAAGCAAAAAGAAATTCGAAAAGAAATGAAAAAAATCGTCACGTATTCGCTGAGGAGAGAAATTTCTTCTAAGCATAGCCTGTAAGCCAAGTGTTTACCGAACTGTATTTTTCTTTTCAAAGCGGAATTTCCACAGGGTGGTGGTCTTCCTAAATAGTGTTGACAAGTCCTCTAATCGTAAAATCCCTAACGCTCATGTTCTTGCTGAAAACGCGAATCTCTGGAGAACTTGAACTTCACTCTACTGGGAAGACTAAATATATACCTGTTTTTCAAAGACTTGTATAATTTAATTGAATTTTAACTCTTTTATTTACTGCCTTTTTTCTTCTTAATGGCAGGGTATGTTGTGAAATATAACTCGTATGAAGTGCTGAGATATTTGCAAAACTCCGGACCACAGGTGTATGCAGTGGGGAACGAACACGCGCTCTTGTCCTCACCGGGGAGCGGCGCACTTCACCACTACACCATCCGGGTCAGTGGTGGCGTACACTGCTGCACTGCATACACCTGTGGTCCAAAGTTTTGCAAATATCTCAGCACTTCATACGAGTTAATTGAATTTGTTTTGTTTCAAAAACTTCCATCTAAACAGAGATATACTTAGTGTATATCCGAAGACATAAGAAATTAAAATCATATATATATATATATGTATGTATGTATGTATAATGTGGTGGTGCGGTGGTGGGAGACGCCACTGCGACGTACACGTGGAATCGATCCCCGTGCCCATGGCTGACCAAGCCTTCCATCCATCTACGGTCGGAAAATTGGTATCAGACTTGTTTGGGAGGATAGCAGCATAGCAGCACTGGCTCGATACATTGGTAGGTCACCGCGAGTCACTGTAAAGGCCAGATATGCATTCAGTCACCTCCAACGAATACTTAATGAAATCGAATGCATGGCGCATCCCTCATGGACTGATCAACACCGGGAGCTTTATTCTTTTTATCCCTTATATGTGAAATGACAAGCAGTCCGAAGAAAAATTTATTTAATTATTCAATTTAACAACAGCCATCAAGTAAAGCGCCTTGGACGAATAGTATATATAGCCATATTTCAATGGGCACATGTAGTGCAGTTGTCAGCGTTGCTCCGCAGCACACAGATAGTCGTTAATTCTTCTCCGCACCCTATCAAATGAATCCCCCTATCCCTCTGGCGTCCACAAATTCAATCCATACTTTAATGGAGTACTAACTTGATATATCGGTACACTCGCTAAATCATTATGTGCGGGCTGAGTTTGCATTAAACCAGCTCTAGAATGCTTGATATAGTCGGATGTGTGGCGTATTTTTAACGAATTGGTCAACGCCGAACTCTTCACATCCTATCCTCGTTCAATATTTTGCCTCAGTGATTTCTAAAGCATTTTTGATTTGTTTTCTGTAATGAAAACTTGATTGAAATTTCAGGTGGGGAAATGTCCTTCCAGCCGGCTTTTAATGCAAGGCTGATCGCGGAAGTGAAAAAACACCCCTGTCTTTATAATCACTCGAAACGAGGTAGTGGTGATACGATGGAACGAATGCGAATTTGGGAGAATATCGCCTCGGCCGTCGACACTAACTGCTCAGGTTCGTCGACATCCAGAATGGAAATAACACTGAGACATGTTTAAGCCAAGGTATTGATACTATTGTATCATTGTGTGGGTATAGTGGACCGCGTGTATATATTTCAGTGCATGCTTGTTCTAACCATACCAATTGTTTGCGCCTCATCGTGGCTGGGAGGTGTTCCTGGATGTCGGACTGCTATGTACAGCGAGGGATTCATTCCTTGGCAAGGTGTCCCAAGCTGAGAAGGAGTCCGGCGTTTCCATCAGGAAGTCTAGCTATGAGTAAACAGATACCAGGGTCCACCACCGTCGCATGGTGGCAAATCTCCATCTGATCCACAAGGACTGCGACTGCTTGTGGCGGTGAAGACCTGGGCAGATTTTGCCCAGTTTGACCTTGGGATTCCAGGAAACCACAATGGCTTAACTAACAATTCTCCAAAAAATGGAAATTATGCCGAGGCCCGAACAACGGTGAGGGCGGGTGCTTCAAGTATCAAGTAACTAAGTAAGCTTGTTCTAACTCTTCATTTTGGAGTGAGAAGTTATTTGGCACACTTCTTGTATTTAGTTGGTAGCCTATCCAACAAATACGTTATGCTAGAGTTGATTCGTTAAAAACCATTCTTTCTTCTTGAGATTTGCAAAAAATTTTTGAAATTAATATTTGATTGTGCATGATGAACACTCAAACGTAAATAGTTTGTACCTCTGATCTTAATGCCATTTTGTAGAGTGGTATTGACAGAATAGTGAACATGATGTGCGCTTAATATTTTGGCTGTTCAATAATAAGTGTGCAGTCGAATAGCGCCATGACAGCTTTTGTTGAATTCAGGAGATTTCGCCAAGAAACGCTGGTTACAACTGCGAGATCGGTACAGAAAGGAGTTGAAGACAGCCATTAAGCAGAACTTTGTGACACCGGTTCGCTGGTGCTACTTTTCGCACCTGTCATGGCTTGATCCTTATCTCAAAGATAATCTGTGAGCTGTTTAAATCTGTGAGAAAGTTACTATTCTATTTTCAACTATCATTGAAAAACAACCACAACGTTGCTGAGATATCTCCAAAACTCCGGACCACATGTGTCTGCAGTGGGGAACGAACGCGCTACTACCCTTTCCCAGGGCTAACACGTTCACCACCACACCATGCGGGTCCTTCGTTTCACCTGTCTCTCAGCTAGTTCTATCGATCAGTTCCATCAGCAGCCATCTGTCAACGGGACTGAGGAGTCCACATCGGCATTAAACCCAGTTAAGCTGATGCTGTAGTTGAAATCACAATATTTTACCTACCATATAGTGAAGAATTGATGCGCTTAACATCTCTGCTGTGCTGGATTTAGTTATACATTTCGTATACAAGTAATCGTATTCAAACAAGTGTGTATGTGTGCACATGTGTGCATGCGATCAAAACGAGAAGACTGCGCCCACCACAACCTTTATGATGGAAGAGGAGATGCACCGAATATCTTCCAAACTTGAGAAACTGAGATGCTAGAAGGTTCTGCGACCGACGCTCATTTCCCTGTCACACGTGCTTAACCATAAAGCTCGATTCCATAGAACGACAACAAGAGATGGAACGCTCACGGTTAAAAGTATATGGACCATGCTGATTTTGACAAGTTTCATCCCTGTGCAACATCACGAGCATGGTGCTAGTTCAATTGCGCTCCAGGCTCTCATCCGTCCAGATTCGGGAAATTGGTAAAGGGCTTGTTACGGAAAAAATAACTCTCTGCAATCCAATTGGGAACGCTCCAGTACGGCTATGTCAGGACTTTAGAGAGAATAGACCAGACCAGCATTCTACGATATTCATGATGAAATGAAAATCCTCAAGTAGCATCAGAAGCCGCACACAGAAGTTGGAAGATATTCGATGATAATGGGTACGAGGAAACGGATCGAATGTGAGAAGTGCTGGGATCTGCTCAGTAGACGTGAAGACAGGTCTTATAAAAAAATTATAAATTATTAATTACTAGTAATGATGTAATTAATAGTAATGGGTTCAATGTCATCATTGGCCTTATGAAGTCACGTGAAGAACTCGCCAGGGTTGATTCAATGGAATGAACAGATTGTTTAAGTTTATCATGATGGCAAAGATCGCTCATGGTAATTTACATTGTCAGGAGCCATCTTCTTAACGAAGGATACTTGCTTCTTGATACTTGAACGGCCAATCATCACTAAATGTGCGGGCTCCAGCATAATCACCATTTTTCGGAGATTTGCCGGATAATCCACTGTGGTTCCTTGGAATCCAGAGGACAACTTAGCAAAAGTCTGCCCCAGGTCGTCATCACGACAGGCAGTCGCAGCCGTTGTGAATCAGAGGGAGATTTACCGCCATGCGACTTTGAAACCAAGACGGTGGTCGATCCTAGCATTGATTTACTCTTAGCTAGGCTTCCTGATGAAAACACTGGACTCATTCTCAGCTTGGAAGACTCAGCCGGGAAGACGAATCTTTCCGCTGTACATCGTACTCCGACACTCGGGAACACCTCCCAGCTACGATGACGCGGTAAAGCGTTTGGAGGTTAACGAAGGATATGGTACTCATTTAGCACTGATTGTTCGAAAGAAATAATTTTGTTAGTTAAAATGGCCAACATGCTGCTTCAAACCCAGAATGTTTGCTGCTTTGTAGATGTTCGCGATCATTTCTATACAAGTGGTTCTTCACTGCCTCTAAAAGACGAAATAGTTCATTGGAATATAAACATTGCAATAATCTTCGTATAAGCTCGAAAGTAGCACTCTAATCTGTTGATTAGCCATTAATTGGCTTTCCAGCTCAACAGTGCGGTTATGTTACGACTATTTGTAGTTGACCTGGATGGCAGAAGTTTCGTAAAATTAAAGTTAAACAAAGAACTTCTTCGCGGTTTATGGCTCCTTCATTGTTGATGAGGCTTCCTGGTTGTCAAACCATAATGTACAGCGAGAATTCTTCCCCACTGAATCGGCTCCCAAGTTGAGATCAAGTTCCATTGTTACACCCAAAGGTCCAGTTAAGAGTGAACCAGCGCCAGAAATTATTACTGTCTTTGTAAGAACACGTCAGTAGCTGATACGTGGTTTCGTTTTTCCTCAGTCAACAAAATACCAATCTAACGAAAATTGTGTCAGGCACCATCACCACGGCTTTTCGTTATGACTGGTCATAAAGCTTGCTAAGCAAATAAGGATGACATACGCTTGAAAGTTCGCCACAGCATAGGTTTTTCAACTGGGAAAAACATAAAACTTTTCATCGAAATTGATCTAGAACATCATCTATTGTACTTCAACCTAAAACCTGCTTTATAGCACTTTTTTAAAGACAGAAGGGTTACATAACACTAATGAATGAAGGACCTGGGTGAAGCAGATCCTATAGAATTGCGATATACCGTAGCAGAAATCATGACATTTGTAGGCGGAATGGTTTTGCTATGCAGGTTATACATTTTTCTAGAATCCTTGTTGAAATTATGTTCCTACTCGCTAAAATTTTCGAGAAAAAAAGTGTAGGCAAATCGTGCAATATTTTCTTTCACCATGAATCCTCACATAACCCTGAACATTATCACAGGGTCTTCGAGCAGAATGAAAATAAAATGATATAAAATTCATTGCTTTTCACAATATCAGAGATCACTTTTTCATTTTAAGAGTGCTGTCTACATGTGACGGTTACAGTGAGAATGGCGATAGCTTCTCAAATTGTGTAGACGCATTGGGTCTGAGCTCTGTTAAAGCTGAACTAGACGACGGTACGTTCATGAGCTTCATCTGTGAACTCAACTGCCACTCTTTTGCTTGAGCGACTTGACGACGAAGATGATCACAAACACATCGTTGCGCTATCGTTATGAGCTGGCTTTCTAATTTCACCCTGTCTTATTGGACTAATGATAAATTTGACGATATTGATCAGTGAACGAAGAAAAACTAACCGAAGTGGTTTTGAAGGAAAAATAAAAGATAGAACGGAGACAGGAAAAAGAAGTGTGAGACGATTTCTGAGTGACTTTTGCCATATTTATACTCGCACGAAATATAAGCTGCATGTATTAACTGGTTTGGGCAGCTGTCGATTACAATGATAAAAGTTCTCAAATAAGCTGGAAAAGGAATGATTAAAATGAACCAAAAACTATTTACCCTCCATCAGTGATCGGTAAAACTGCAGTCACCTAAAAAAAAAGCACTAAAATCACTTGTGAGTAAATCCAACTCAGAGTGTTTTTTTCAACACTCTTGCTTATTACTGAACATTTTGACTACTAAGAATGTTATACGAGCAAGGGCCTGGATTTCCGAGTATTAGCCATATACTCACTTGCTTGGATACTTGGTGATCTGTTCTAACTAGTTATGCGAGCCTAAGCATAATTTTCATTTTTTCGAAGTTTTGCTGGCTTAACCATTATGGTTACGTAGAGTCCAGAGGTCAGCATAATCTGAGTTTGATCCAAGTCGCCACCACCACAGGCAGTCGCCGCCCTTGTGGATCAAAGGGAGATTTGTCACCATGCGACTAACTTGAAACCAGGGCGATGTTGGATCCTGGTATTGGCCTACTCTTAGCTGAGCTTCTGATGCAACGGCCGACTCCTCAGCTTGGAAGACCGTGCTGTGGGGCATGAATCCTGTCGCTGTACATCGCAACCCGACACCTAGGAACACTCCCCAGCCACGGTGGGCAGTAAGCCGTTTGGAGAAAATGGATTAGAAATAATGTCTTAAAAACCGACTTTCGTTGAACCTCGGTAACAATAATCATTCAAGGACAATAGCACGCGTTCCTTCCCCACCGCATACACCTGCGGTCCGGAGTTTTGCAAATATCTCAGCATTATATACGAGTTATATTTCTCAACATACCCTGTCATTAAAAATAAAAAGGCAGTGAATAAAAGGGTTAAGATTAATAATCATTGAATTTTTGTATAACTGAGGTGAAACAAGGTTGGTACAAAAACTTCTAATCTACTAACATTTCGGCGATTTCGCCTTCCTCAGAGCCCCATTAATCCAAGTCGATGATCCACAGCTGGTCTTTGTTGCGATGTGGGTGTTCGTTGTCACCCTGAGTCGAATTTAATAGAGGTAACACCGCTCGAAAGAAGAATCTGTCCACAGTGCTCTTTTGTACAGAAACAGTGTTAACCGGTTCCTGTCTACATTAGGAGGGCAATGCGTCCTATAGCAGTCGTACTTGCTACTAACCTCGCGTCAGCTCAATTCTACAGAAATTTATTAGTCAAATACTTAAGAAATTTGCCCCTTTCAGATGAAAGAGGTGCTGGCAGAACAGTGGTAGAGGCGTTCACTACTGACAGAACTCTTGTTCAACCATCCACAATCCATTCGCAGAAATTGAGACCAGATTTGTGTAGAACGGAAGCAGATGCTAATGGCTATAGTAAAGCGCATGTAGCGCAGTCGGTAGTTAGAGGTGCCCTATACTGCACGTATTGTCATTGGTTCGATTCTGCATTCCGGGTTTACCAAAAAAAAGACATTGTGCCAAACTGGTCTAGAAGGGTAGCAGCGCTGCCATAGTTCATAAGTAGTCCACCACAAATCACTCTATAGGCCAAATTGAATTCAATCACTTTTAGTGTGTTTGATGAAGTCCAATACGTGGCACATCTCTCAGGAATTGATCAACATAGGGCGCTTTACCCTCTATCTTTGTCTGGAAGGAACCGTATGAGATTCACAAAAGCTGCCCACTAGGTGAGGTGAATATCTGTGAAAACCCTGACACTGCTACCCCTGTCTTCTAGGGAGATCCGACTAGACCGGCATTAAGAACGGCATTCAGGAAACTAAAATCTCTGAACAAGCGGTTGAAATGTCTCAGCTCTCGTGACCTTTGTGGAGCGCAGACAGAGAATCGCATGTAGAATTGCTGGGATCCGCACAATATGTGATTTCGAGTCATGTAAAGAAAAGTAGAAATAAAAAATAAGAATGTCAGAAGATCACAACACAATTACCATAATAAGTATCCTCTTTACCTAATAAGCTTTCAATCCAATGATGTAACATAAAATAGAGTGACTACTTTTCTATCACTTCTTTCACTAAAATAACGTGTTTCCTTACTTTTATTCATTGAACTGACTTTCCAATCGTTCGGATGTCCAAGCCGATATCACTATTTGTTTATTGATATACTATTTATGAATATCGACACTTATATAACATTGGTTTAACCTCGTAGCATTATGAAGCTCGAATATTTGGATAAAACGATAAACGATGAAGCTCTGGGCGTTGATCGATCCTTGAGGGATGCGGCATGCATTCGACTTCATTAAGCATTGTTTCGAGGAGATTGAATGCACATCTAGCATTTACAATGACTCGCAGCGGCCTATCGATGTATCGAGCCAGTACTGCTATCCTCCCAGACAAGTCTGCTACCAGTTTCCGACCCCGGAGTGATGGAAGGCTTGGTGGGCCATGGGTGCGCGGATCGATTACAGGCGTGTGTTGGAGAGCGCCTCCTGGATAATCCGGAAATTTTATTGATTAATATTTTACTACGAAGAGACAACAACTTACTTTGCACGGATTATTCAGAACGTTTCTTCGAAAACGAAATTTCATTGCTCTTTGCTTTTTTTTGCGCAACACCGAAGAGAAATGCATTGAGTTCCTTATGCTTATAGGTGGTTGTGATCAATCAACGGCCGTAATGGAAACATCGGTTATCGATCGACTTCTGGCATCAACTCATCAACTCACTCAATCCCAGAAAGGTCTCGTTTCCTAAAATTTCCTCTGTTTACAAGTTTTTTTAAAATATTTGGCTATTTTTAAATAATATATTGCTTATTTATGCTTCAAGCTTACTTCTCGCTATTCATTGCATTTCTTTTATTATCTACCACTATCATCATTTTCTCATTTCACAGCGTTCTTAATCCTTTAAGTTTATTCCGATTGCTGATGCTCAGTAAATCTTCTTTTTTAGACTATACTTACCATAAATTTTAAGAATACAATCGATTTCATGGTAGATCTAGGCAGGTGTCCCATTGGTTCAAGTATGAGGTTTTTCAAGTGTTTTAGGTAAAACCACGCTAATTACTTGAATGTGTCGTTTTGTTGTTCAGCAATCGTGAGGTTTTTAAACAGCATACATTTACTTCCATAGAGAAACACAAAACTAATTACTTGACTTTTTCTTAAATGAATCTCTATTAAAATATCATAAAATGATGAATCCCTCTTGAACGACAAAAGGGTGGTCGAACAGCCGGACCAACCTCGCTTCGGCTAGAAAGGACATTTCGTAGGAACAAACTTACAGGTATATCATGGAAATGATTTAGCCGCATACACTTCTGCGTTGCGGAGATTTAACGCTGTCAGCTAATCGTTATCAGAGCCATGTGCTATGAATGATTTTTTTGCTGATAAAATATTTTGAATTAAGATGATTCTTATGATCAAAACGTCAGTGGTTCTGGCGTAGAAGAACACGAAAAGATCGGAAACGAAAAATCTAACGACATGCAAGCAACAGAAGAGAAATGTGACCGGCAACATCAATACGCCACAACAGGAGGGCTTGTCGACACAGTGCAGGTGCAGAGATTTTTTGGTAACTGTCAGAGTTACAAGGATTTAACTTTAATATGAGCCATGCATTCGGCTCCATTCATAGCACTGTAGAGGTTTACCTATTCTTATTTTATCTACACAAATAACTTGCTGTGGCCTATCCATGTATTAAGTCCGAGCTGCTACTATCGTTCCAGTCAGGTCTAGTGCCAATTCCACGGACTGGTGTAGGGCTTATTGGGCTTTGAGCATTGGTTCGAATCAATAATCACTTGTGTTTCGTAGGTCACCTCTAACCATTGCGCTGCAGTAGAACATATATCATTGTGTAACAACACGAAAATTTAAAACAAGGTTGCAGGTACCACAGTGTTTGTCGTCGTCAGCATTAAAGTCTCAAGTATTGGCTCGATGTCAACAAATGGATTCACCTATAAGCAAGCCGACCATCGCCGTAAGTTTTTAGGACATTTCGATGGAACCAAAATACTTTTAGTTCAGCCTCCTTTTTATCCGCTTGCTTCTACGTCGATAGTTCCAAGTCCCTATTTTATTCAAAGTCCTTTCACAGTCATATCAGTTCAATTTCTTGGTTTTACCACTTGTTATATATTTATGACAAACTAGAAAACTACCTGAGGTATAGGCGAAACGAAGGGCCCGCATAGTGTGTGTGTGGTCATGAACGCGTTAACCTCCGCTAAGGGTAATGGCGCGTTCGATCCCCACCGCAGACACCCGTGGTCCGGAGTTTTGGAAATATCTCAACATCATTGTGATAATATCTATGATGTTTCATATACTTCTGATCTATGCAAATAACTTTTCTCTCTTTAAAATAGCAGCTGCATTTAAAATAACATTTTAGAGCTTGAAAGCAAGATCATTAGATACTCCCTTACAAGTGGCTGATACAAGTTATTATCGCGATTGAAATAAACATCTATTATTATTGCAGCTATTTCCTTATAAAGGATAAAGGATAAAACTCTCGGCGTTGATCAACCCTTGAGGGATGCGCCATGCCTTCGACTTCATTAAGCATCGTTGGAGGTGATTGAATGTATATCTGGCCTTTACAATAACTCGTGGTCGCCTACCGATGTATGGAGCCAGTGCTGCTACCTTCCGAGGCAAGAATGGTACCAATCTGCTGACCCCGGCGGGATGGAAGGCTTGGTGGGCTAGGGACGCGCGCGCGATCGATTCCACGTGTATGTTGCTGGGCGCCTCCGACTACTGCGCCACACATGCCACTATTTTCTCATAATCAATGTAATTGTAGTATTTTTTCTAGTTTTTGTGATTGTTGTGATTGTTAAAATAAATAATATAAACATCAATAGCGTAGTCATACAGATCGATGATAGTGATCAAAAAACAATTCAAAAGATGAATACTTAGGCTGGTAAAAGTGCATTGGATTGGATAAACGACGAAGATTTCCTCTACTGCAGAATCATCGGTCTTCGATTAAAGAAACTGGAGCCGAGGAAGAAGAAACGGGTGAGTGTCAACAGATTGATCATTGGTTTTTATTTCTGTCGTCAAAAACGTGAGTTAAAGTCTTGGTGGAGAAAACCGAACGAATACTTCAAAACGGATGATTTTCTTGCACTATATAATGGTTGAAAAAATCATTATTTCGGGAGTTTTTAAAAGAAAACTCTATTGGCCATAGGAATGTGGTTAGGACTTCGAATGATAGCCTATTTTTAAGGTTTTCGATGATCTTCTTGTGACGACTCAAAGGGTCATTTTTTTCCCGTCGACGACTATTGTTTACTCCTCCTCACCGAGAAATCAATGTTGGAAATTTTATCAATTTCCACTAGATGAAACCTGAGCAAAATTTTTGTACAGTGAACTGCTTTACTAGCTAAATGGTGGTAGTGTAGTGGTCTAGTTCATTTTAGGGACACTTCTGGAACGGAGAAACTTAAAATTATGCCGAATACAAAAGCAAACAAATCTTCGATTTACGGCCTAATATTTTTACATGGTGGGGCATTATATGAAATACAACCACAATGATGCCGAGATATTTGCAAAACTCGGACCCGGTGCCAAATCCGATCCTGGAATAACTTTCCAGGTGGCTCACTTGTTACCCTCTGCTCCACCGAGACCTTTGCAGTGCTTTCTGTCAGCTCTCTACCTCCCTAACCCTAACTGCGTTATCAGCAATCACCCGTCAACTGGAATGATCTGAGAGCACAATTCAACCCAGTTAAACGGAGGCTGTGGTTTACAATGTATAACTTTGGTAATAGTCTTCCTATTATCCTTTTAATACACTGTATTATTACAAAAGAAAACTGCTTACATTGAATTTCAACTCTGCTATAAAATCCAAACTTGTTTAAATTTACTTACTTTAATAGATGACATGCCTGTTGCTCATCGGTATCACACTGTACGGATTCCAGAACTTCTTTCAATTCATTCGTTTTGTCCTATTCACCTACCACGAAAGTGTTCGAAGTTTTGCATGTGGCTTCGGCTGCTACCTGATGACTTTCGTCTTCGTTATGTTGAATGTCGCTGAATGCTTGTTGAGCCAATTCTAGCTGGAAACCTGAGGTAGCTATGCGCTGGCGTTGCCACGTGGATTAGAGGGAGTGAGCTTGTCCCAAACAAGTCTCCTACTGATTTACCGACTCCTGAGTGATAAGAAGCTTTGTAGGCGGTATCGAAGTAATAGGTTGGCAAGTCCTAGTTATGAGCGATGCCACTGTAACTGCTCTGTTCGACTCCTTCTTTTCTATACTATTCAAGAAAGCATTCTTCTTTATAGCATCGCACAACATTGCATATTTCGTCCTGTAAACAGGTGATCTGCATTATATCAAATATTTATATACGATGATAATAGCCACACTTGGAAATATAATTAATTCTGGAAGCGAAAGACAGGCAAAAAGGGGCACTGAAGAAGGTGATTCTGCTGAAACGTCGGCTGCGTCTGCGTTGTATGTGTGTTATTGTATGGAAGTAAACGTATGCTCTTTAACAACCTCACTATTGCTGGGACAGAAAACGACGAATTTATAATCCAACGCCGAGGTTAATAGAAAGTCGATCTTGGGTACTATAATTAAGCCTTTTCAAGCATCGTCGGCTATTACTTTTATACTGATTTATAGAACGGCTACTTCACTTGCAATGTCAACCATAGGCAAATTTTTATGTGAATAGAATTCTATGCTAGGCGGAATTTTTTCTGTAGTCCTGAAATGATCAAATCTGGGAGTAGACATTGGGTCTTCATCATAGGCACTCGCCAGAATATGAAGCGTTAAAAGAAGAACGATTTTCAAACCGGCCATCATTCAGCCTCGGTAGTAAAATATTCAACACGTGTTAAAATTGTTGACCCTGCTCGAGATTATTAGAAAAATTTTAGTCGGGTAACATTTCGATGTCTTGGTCTTCATTAGAGTCGATGATCCACAGTCATTCGCGTTCTCGGTGTGTCCTCTTCGTTATCACATCGGCACTGATGAAAACGAAGACGTCGAAAGGTTAACCGAATAGATGTTGTATAGCAACCTCGTATAAGCCCATCAATTTAAACACACGTTAGAAGAAGATTTGGTGACCTGCGATTGAGTTTTTTCTGTTGAAGATAGCGATTGTTAGTAAGCTTACAGTTTTCTATTGGTGGGATTAGTTGGTTGATCCTCCGTATGAATAGAGCAAAGTCGTAGAGTCGAATCTGGTCACCATGCAGCTTGTCACTGTGACTTGATAATCCACTGAAAAAGAATAAGTACTCACTTCTTCAAGCATTTCAATGTAATACGACATCTTAGAGCAACTGTAATACCCTCTTCATAATTCCATTAACTCTACTGATTCTGGCGACAAATTCTAGCCAGTCTTTTATAAGTCACTCAAAGACGTCCGTCTATGAAGAACATCGCATTTTCATGTTTTTATCTTACGAAATCATTCTCTTTGTGTCATTTCTTTTAAAACTCTTAGAAGGTTGAAGAAGGAAAGGACGTGTTAAAACATTTTTTTTAAGATTCGTGCTCAAATTATGAGTTTACTGGAGGAATCTGAAGGTGAACTTGAGGAAGATGATGACTCAATGAGTAGTACGAATGTGGATGGAGGTGATATGTTTGAAAATTCTATGCTGGATGTCTCAACGAGATTCGGTGATCGCTAACTTCCTTGATTGCCCCATCATGGACTCGAACAATCGTCTCTGAGAGTCCAAACTTCACGAGCGTGCACTAAATACAGTCTGAGCAGCACTCGAGATTTCTGTAAATTTGTACGTATCTCTTTTTAGAAGTGTACACTTTTAAAACTATTAGCAGGTTGAATATTTGCTTCATTTACTTACGACAACCTGGCCATGAAAGCCTTCGTTAATGATTGCTTCATTCGAATCATATTGCTGCCTTCTATCATCCCATCTGAGGCAGCTGTTTCTTCAGGGCTGTTAAGAAACTATTGTCTTGTGATCGTCAGTTTTCCACTGGTTTCGGTTCTCACTGCAGATTTTTTATATCTTACAAAATGTTGTCTATACACACTTCGTTTTTTGTTACACTCTTCATCAAGGTTGTGAATAATTCAACATTACCGTAACAGTTCACTTAAAATTAGCTGATGCTACGGTAATCGATGTAGTTAGTACTTCTTGCCTTTTCCTCTCTTTTTTGTTTAGCCGCTTTTCAGATTTCTATTCAAATCCACTATTCCTCTTGCCCTTCGACGATCTGATTCAAATTTTGTCTTGCCCAATCACATAAACAACCGTTGCGAGTAATTTAGGTGATTTCAAATGTAATATTGTTTTTTCTTCACATTTGAGTTACTATTCATCACTTGTTTTCTTTCCCACGGTTTCCTTATATATAGCAAAGCACCTAATATGCCGTTATCGCAACAATAACGTTGTGAAGCATCAGGTATTCACTTGAAAAAGTCAATTTTTTTCGAAGCACTGAACAAAAAATTTCGTAGTCGTTGTTGTCGAAGTTGCTCTAGTTAATGTGCTCTAATAAATAGTCTTTACCTCAGTTTTGTATTTTTATTACAGCACAGGATTAGATCAGTTGCTTGCAGCGCAGAGAAATAAACACACCTTCGTCATGAAATACAGTGGCAATGGTGTTGAGTTATTTGCAAAACCCCGTTTAGCAGGTGTCTGCGGTGGGGAATGAACGCTTTATTACCCTTTCTGGGGGGCTGATTAGTCCACCACGCTATGCGGTTCCTTCGTTCCATCTGTCTCTCAGCAAGTTCCATCGATCAGTGGCATTAGCAATCACCCGTCAATGGGATTGATCTAGAGGCACAAATCGGCAATGAACCCAGTTAAGGCTGTAGTCTAAATCACAATGTTAACTTTTCTACCTACTGCTTGTTACAATTTTTCACGGCAGCGTATTATGTATGACTCAACCACAGTGGTGCTGAGATATTTGCAAAACCCCGGACAGAAACTCAGGTTAAACGAAGAACCCGCGTGGTGTGGTGGTGAAATCGTTAGCGGAATTTTGTAAATATCTCAGCACCATTGTGGATGAGTCACACATAATAGGCGTTTCCATCAGGAAGCCTAGCTAAAAGTGAATCAATACCATGATCCACCACCGTCCTAGTATCAAAGTCGCACGGTGGCAAATCTCCCTCTGATCCACAAGGGCTGCGACTGCCTGCGGTGGTGAAGACCTAGGCCAGACTTTGGCCAAGCTGACCTCGAGATTCTAAGGAACAATAATGGGTTATCCAGCAAATCTCCGAAAAATGGAGATTTTGCTGGGGCTCGCACAACCAGTAAGGAAGGGCCATTCAAGTGTCAAGTGTCATAACAAACTGGCATAAAAAATAATGGGCACTAAATAGAAAACTAAACAGTCATTGGTCAAAAAATAACCAACCTCCTCGTCCACTCTAGGGCGCGCGCAGGGCAGTGGTCGGAGGCGCCCTGAAATGAGCATGAGATCGGCCGCTAGGCCCAAAGCTCACCAAGCTTTCCACTCCTTCGCTGTCAACAAATTGGTGCCAGACTTGTCTGGAAGGATAGCAGCACTGGCTCGATACATCGGTAGCCCACCAAGAGTTACAGTAAAAGCCAGATGTCAGTGATGCTTAATGGAGTAGATTGCATGGCGCATCCCTCAAGGATTGGTTAACGCCGAGAGCTTTATCTTATTTTATCCTCATCCTTCGCGATTGGTTTGTACGGGTTCTTCCCTCTCCCCAATCCGCAGAAGCTGGTGAATATCTCCGATGAAGATGATCTGATAACGTCTTGGTGCAACTATCCCATTATTCAAGGGAAAGTAAACTCGACCGGAATTCAACGGGGCTCATAAGGAGAATCAAAATCCTTAACAACCAGCCTAACCCAAGTTCAGACATCCTCTGCTGTGGTGGATGCGAGCCAACTAATCAAATTCAAAAAGTGCTGAAATCCGCACAATATGTTGTGTCAGATCGTGCATAATAAAACACTACATAAAGGGTTCACGGCGTCACACGTACGACGCGCAATCTCGTCAACCATTGAGTAACTCGTGGAAGTACCATGAAAGTATTCATTCGTCTGTTTTACGCAGCAAAGCTGTTTAAGCATGCTTCCTTGCTCAAGAAATACGACTAGCTTTACAATTTTCATATACGTCACCTTACTTTAGTGCTTCTCGCAAAAGAATAGTTTAGTGGAATTACCATGGCCTTGACCCACTCACCGACACCTTGTTGTGCTTTTACGAATGTGACCTTAATAACTTTTCCTACCGCGATCACCACCTTCCATAATCGTCTCATTCACATAATTGGAAAAAGCGCCTAGAGTCCTTCATCCTCATCTCCATATCCACCACATAAAGACGTGTCACGTATTTTGGAGATCAACCAACTTTAATAAAGATTCTTCCATAGAGAGGATCGTGAATGTGCACACAGTGCTATTTTTAACATAACTATTTAGTTTGAAACTTTAAACTAACAATGTGTCATTGATACCAGGAAACTGAGGACATCATATTTTACTACACCTTTCCAAACAAAAAATGGTGTCCACCTTTTTGACTCCACGACTCTCTTATCACATGCGTCAGAATCTCAGTCCCTACTCAAGCAGGATAAAAGCGTTATAAAACGCGCAGTCCAAAGATGGTTTCCCGTAGCATACCAGTGAAGGAGGAAACCAGAAAATCTGACATAGATCAAAGGTCAAAAATCAAAGACAGCGCTCCATATGCCAAACTGTCGAAGATAAAGTGAGCAGAATATGTAACGCGTATGAACGACAGCTGATGAACAAGAGCTGTTAGTAGCTGGATTCTTCGCGATGTCAAACACACATCAGGAAGTTCACCGACCCAATGGTCAGAATTTTTTACGAAAACCCTAGAAGAATGATATGATACTCAAAGAGACCCCAGAACTAGCAAGACCCGATTGGCTACGTATTTACGCAACAGAGAGAAATGGAAGGTTTACTGGCGCCCGCTTATGCTAGACGACCAACGGAACGGCAGGTGACGGTGACAGGTGACATAATCGACTATCGTTTTTACCCGTTTTACCTAACCTGAAATCGCATCTTGCAGATTCTCTTAGTTCAAAAGTTTGTCTCATATTACGCCAACCACGCATTGCCTTCCTATCTCTTCTCATCACAAAGAATTTTTGCCAACTCCAGTGTAACATGCGTGCTATGAAATCATCATTTCCTTGATTGCACCTTTCTCTGCTTAGAAAAAACCCAAAATGCTTCCTTTCACATAACTTTTTTTTTGAAGCAAAGAGGCACGAAAACTAGTCTAAAGCAAGGAAAAAATATATCTTACCATTTGTGTTGATATTAAACTTTACCCTGTACATAGTATTTTATTCCTCTCAACGGTTTACCACCTCATCAGAGCTGGCAGGTGTTCCTGGGTGTCGGGCTGCAATGTACGGCGGGAGGATTCGTCCCCTGGCAAGGTCTACCAGGCTGAGGAGCCCGGCGTACCTATCGGAAAGCTTAGTTAAGAATAAACCAATACCAGGATCCACACCGTCCTGGTATCAAAGTCGCTTGGTAGCAAATTGCCCTCTAATCCACAAGAGTTGCGACTGCCTGTGGTGGTGACGACCTGGAGCAGGCCTTGGTCAGCCTGTCCTACTTCATTAAGCATCATTAGAGATGAACAAACACATATCCAGCCTATGCAATGACTTTTGTTGGCCTGCTTATGTGTCTAATCAGTTATTTTATCCTCCTACACTAATTTTTACCAATTTACCGTCCCAACGGGAAGAGAGAGTTTGATTTGCTCACAGCGACAGATCAAACTAATGACTGCATGTGAATTGCAAGGCACTTTTAGTCATTGCCCTACACCGCCCCAAAAGGAAATAGAAACAAAAATTCGGAATAGGAAGTGTTTCTCAACTTTGCGAAAAGTACGAGACCATTACAGTCTCAAAATAAGAGATATATTATGCACATTCTCCGAATCAACGCTTAGTGAATTATTCAGACGACTCTTCGTAAACGAACTATTATTGATTTCGATGTTTAGCAACGTTCTGGATGACGGTCGCCCAGGTTTGACAACGAAGAAACCTTTTTCGTATCAGTTTAAAGTAACCGGGGTTCAGTGGGGCGTGAATGATCAAGCAGATATTTCCTTCGTATCAAAAAAAAACCTCGACCAACATTGATTTGGAAGGAAGATGACTTATTGACTAAAAAACTTTGAATTGACCAGTAGTGGTAAATTTCTTAATAGCTCCAGGTAAATTTCATGCCTTGTGAAAAGAGTGTAGTCATTCTTTACAATTTCCAGTGCCTTCTTTTTTGAAATTGGGTTCCAATTTTCCATGTAACTGATTCGTTCAGTTGAAACTCTGGTTGGAATTCCGTGGATACTTGGATAGCCCGTCTTCGCTAGTTGTGCGGGCCCCAACATAATTCCCCTTTTTGGAGTTTCGCTGGTCTAGCCATTGTGGTTTCCTGGAGTCTCGAGATGAGCCTGGCCAAAGTTTTACCTATGTCACCGCCACCACAGGCAGTCGCCGACCTTTGTGGATCAAAGCGAGATTTTTCACCATGCGACAAATTTCATATCAGGACGGTGATGGATCCTCGTATTGGTTTACTCTTATCTAGGCTTTCTGATGGAAACGCGGCAGTCCGACACCCAGGAATACCCCCCC